ATATTTTATGCGTATTTCCCTACAGCCTACTGGTTTCTACAGTGTAAGGCGATGACACCAAATAGATCAATTTCTAGCTATATTACTTTCCACTTCTAATTTATTCATATTGCTTTCAACTAATGCCTCGGTTCGCTTGAATCCGCACATTTTTGACTTGCACAGTCACCCGCTGGGCAGGTGCAAACCAGTGCTTCTAGGCTTCCAGGCGAATTGACAATATCTAAAACGTGAGAATATTAGGAAGACCGAAGAAAACCATTCTGATGAAATGTGCCAAATATAGCGAAATCATTAAAGTAAAGGGAAAGTCTTGGAGCGTTAATCAATCCCGTCTGAGGGATGCGCCCACGCATTCCACTTTCCTTCAGAAACATAGTGGCGTATTGAATGCGTATGTGGCCCATACAATGACTTGCGGTGGCCAGCCAGTATACAAGTCAGTGCTTCATCCTTTCAGACGAGTCTAGTACCAATTAACCGACCCCGGAGCGATGGGAGGCTTGGTTGGGACTTTTAGCAAACTCATTAGGGTTATCAAAATAATTTTACTATAGATTTAGGCATTGCGTTGATTACTGGCAAATCTATGCTTGCATAAAGCGCCCATTACGGCGGATAAAAAGAATCTGTTATCCCACTCCTTTGTGAGGAAGTATAGAATGGAGGATTTTGGTGTAATGGAGTGAGAAAGCGTAGCAAAGCGGATCTATGTCGTCTCAAACAAAGCAACAAAGAGAGTTTGGTATACACGGAAAAGTATCCCTTAAAGATTAGCTACATCTGCGTGGAAGGGCCACACTCCTGGGAGACCGCTACAAGGATTCACCGTGCACTCGCGTGGCTCATCGCGAATTTTACTCTAACGTCTGCCTCCCATGAAATCATTCATACAACTCATTATGCAAAACCAATATAGCAAACAGGAAGATTGATGAACCTTAGTAACAGTATTGCGATAGGGGTATAAGAGCTTCTCTCAGTGAGCGGCACTTCCTCAGCATAAGCCTTCTCATATGCAAAATGTCACAACAGATATTCAAGGCACACTTAACATAACAGAAGTGGGAGCAGCCCCTCTTACGGAGGATGTGGTGGACCCTCGAAGGAGGGACACAACCAATGTAAATTCACTACTTAGCTCTCGGATGTATGTGACGCCGCAAAAACAAGCGTAAACTTGAAGGCGCAGTTCACGATATTCTTGGGTTATCCAGACTATGACAAAAAATGAAAGAGATGGTGGGAAATAGTGCGATGAAGGCGAAGAAAAAGCGCGAGTTGTTGTTCTCGAAACAATAAAAGGCCTCAAACGTTAGAAAAGGGGGCAGGACGAGAATGAGGCCAGAAGAATCAAGTAGAAGGAGTGTTTGGACGAGCTATACAAAGTGCATCATTGCATTCGTGTGGGTCGTAGTGCGAATTGCTGACTACAATAAGCTAAAACGTTCTTAAAATTTATTCGCTCATTAGCATAAATTAAAAATGTACTAGTAACAGCAAAAACAGCCCCTTTTCCTACCTATTGAGGTAGAAAACTACACAAACGACCGCAGCAGCAAAAAGAACAGCAGAAAATAATAGGATAGGAGGAATACATCGCCTCATCATTCAGACATCAGCTTACTACGTGCTGAACGCATAGGTCCTGGCACGAATATTGCAATCTGTACCGCCTCGGTTCTCGTCTGACGCATCATCGCTCGATGGGCGTGGCATCCGACCGATTCAGTAGTGGTGGCCCTACTATGCCCTAAACCTTGAGTTTTTGGGCCCGACAACGTTCTTTCTGTTGCCTTTGGGTGCCACGGGAAAATCCTGAGAGGGAAACCAAGAAACCATTTTAGTCGTGAACTCTGCCTTCAACTCATGGCGGAACTGGAAGTGAGGCTGATGAGTAGAGGCGAATCTCGCAACAAACATTTTTTTTCGAAAGTCAGTGAACATAAGCAGCTCATCTGTCATCAAGATGAAGCAGGCTCATTTTCACTTCAGGGGTTTGCTCTAGTAAGGTGCTGATATCTGCGAACGCTCATAACTTGGTCGTCAGGCAGCCTCGAAACAAAAGAAAAACAGTTGAGTGAGAGTAACAATGCTTCAGACGTGCTCACAATAAAACTATCAATCCTTCCCACAGGCAGTACTAGAATATGAACGTAGGTCGCCTTCTACAGGAGTCCACAGCCTTGTTTCAGAGTTGCACGGAGGTAGGAAAAGGTTGACCCAATAAATGGAGCTTTGGTCTAGTTTGATAGAGGACGAAGAGTATTGAAAACTGGTAACCGAAAGGGTCACAACTTTGCTGGGCGATGTTCCGAGAGTTGGAAAAATTAGAGGTGGTAAAAGGGGTTCATGTACATTTCCTCAGGGAGAATGGCTCGACGAGTTGAACATTTATATCTCAATTGTCCCAGTACCCCAACGTGATGACTACTTTCTTTTTCAACATTTGAGAGAATAATTTCGAGGTTGTCTCCGACTTCTCTCTTACTTTACCCTCGGCATAATTTCTATGATAAAGATATTCTTGTGGAGCGCGGATTTTTAGGTGGAACAATTTACTGAATCAGCGGCCTACATTCCGACTTTATCGTCTTCTTCAGAGGCCTAAAGCAACTCGAGACTATTTGCACAGTATCCAGAACGTGATCCCCCTTCAGCGAATGTGACGACGAATTCTGTTTTTGAATCAAAAAATCAAACGAAGAAAGAATCAGACGCTAACGTCGGAAATTAGGCCGTTGATTTAATAAATTGTTCCACCTAACAATCTCACACTGCACAAGTTATTTCAGTCATAAATTTCAAGATAGATCGATAACCCCATGAATTTCGTGGTTCTACTTCGACACTTTCTTTCTTTCTTCCTGGATAGAGCAAGTTCTTACAAACTGTAAATGAGAAGTCGCTCGAAGAGACGACAGAAGGAACAGCGAATACAACTTATGTATGATAGACCTAGGTTACTCTTTCTGTTCCACCTCAAATTAGCCGCCGTTCGTGATTCTTATCGATAGACACTGTATAAGTATAGAGGTATCCTGCTAGTACTGCTGACCCAACTTAAGAACGTTTACGTAGAAAGTAAACGCAGTGTTCTGGAAACCCCGACAAGCCAGTTTGCGTCAGCAAGGTTTCCTGTTTTCATTAACGAGCACAGCACGGATCATCAGTCGTCTCAACTTTACTGGGATGGAACGAAAAGTGCAAAGAGTTGGGTAAGAGGTATTATCAATGGATCCGTTTGGGGTACACAAAGCTTTGGACGGTCATTCAGCTACTCAGAGTCTATTAATACGCTTGGCCGTTCAAAGGCAGAGTTCACGATTAAGGTGGTTTCTGAGATAACCCTTGAAATCGCATCCACACTTTCTCAAGTATCACTGAAGTGTCGCGAGAGAACACGATGCCGTTATGCCTCACACTCTTCGATTTAAAGAAGGCCTTTGATGCTGCCGAATTGAGTAGTTGAAGCCTTAGGCTATCTGGGTGCTCCTGCCTAATGCAGTAGCGGCCAAAAGTCTTCGAAGAAACGCTTTTCCAATCGCAACTTTTTTCCTACTTCATGAATTCAATGAGATTTTAGAATGTCAACCAGAGACATATTGTGAATACATACCGCATATAAAGTGCAATTAATTATTGTTCATGGTATGTTATTGAGATTTAATTCAATTCAGTGGAAAATACAGATAGCATTGACCTAAAAAGCCGCTTTATTTCGAAATAGCAACATGTAAAACACCGAAAACATGGATGCTCGGTAGGAAAGTCTTGGCTTTTGATGACAGCATCGCAACGAGAAGCTTTCAAGTCGATTAATTATTGAATGGTAGACTTTCGCCGGTGTTCCGACAAGGTTGATCGGAAAGCGCCTCCTAAGCTCTTCTCACATGTACTCTATAGGATTCAGATCCGATGAGTCGCTTGGCCACTCCGGAAGTCTGGTTCGGTGTTGCGAAGGTGGAGGCCGCCTTCACGACAATTGAGGTGTGTTTCAGATCATCATCTTGCTGCAGGATCCATCCTGCTGGCATGTGCTGCTCTGGCCGCGACAAGACGATGTCCTCTATAGGATACTTGCGTCGTCAAAAACTCCCAGCTTCCCATTCGACTTGTTTCCCGACCTCCCCCTACACTGAAGGATCTCCTAACATCATCCCGAATTTACGAAAGACGGTGCCGCAAACAGTCTTGTCGATACTGCACTTCTGAGAAGATCTGTGAACTCCAGGGCACTGTCTATTTGTTTCAATGGGGAGGATGTGGAGAAAAGTACGTGGGGGAGACCGCGAGACCACTGAAGATTCGTCTGGATGAACACAGAAGAGTGTTGGCCAATCCCGCGGCCTATCCACACAGCAGTTTTTCTAGGCACCGTACACTTAGGCATGAGAAAGAAAATGCTCCATCCTTCGATGTGAGGGTTTTGCACAGATATTTGGTACGGCCACTGGAAAGGAAAATCATGGAGGCACGGGAAATATACCGCATCAAGCCGGAAGTCAATGCGAAAGAGGAGTTGCATGAACTACTGAGACTGATTACGTGATAACACATAGTTACCTCAGAACAAGAGCGGCGTCCATTTTCCCTTCAAGATCCCCGCCGACAGGTCCATTCCCCCTTTCCCCCAATATTTCCGGTTGACTTGGTATGATTCGATGTGTTTTGTATTGTAACTGATAGCAACTGATTGTATGCAGCAATATATTGTAAGTAATTAAGGTCTGACGAAGGCATTATATGCCGAAAGCTCACCAATAAAAGCGAAGAGCATAGAGCTTCGAAAAGTACACAAAACGACAAGAAATCATATTTTTGTAGTAATCTCCTGCCATCGTGCCGTCAATGTTCAAACAAGGGGCCATTCCGTTTGAGGAAGAGGCATCGTATACCGTCACACTTCCTCCACCATGCTTGTTTGTGGTTAGGGCACACTTTGAGTAGAAAGTTTCCCTAGATGGAAGTCGTCCGTACCGTATACCACCGCTTTCAAACTAAAAGAATTTGCTCTCGTCTGTAACAGGAACTCTACTACAAAAAGTTAAAGTTAGTTGAAGTGACGGCGCGAACTCCGCTCTAGCTCCACTATTTTTCAGAATGATAAGCGTCTTTATGGCTGAACGTCTCCCATGAATACCAGCATTGTTCAAGCGTCTCCCTACAGCTCGCCAAATAGGATTGGTGCCATCGCTGGCGCTGATTTGAGCGGCAATGACAGCCGTAGTGAGACGAGGGTCTGGTGAGGTGATCGACCGAGGTGTGATCTGTCTGACCCGGTCTGGCGAGGCACATCGGGGTCTTCCCATTTTCTCAGCATTGCAAACAGAGTTACTGAACCTGCTGCGTTGAATAATCGAAGTAGTCATCTGCTATGGAACCTCCAAACCTTGAAATGAACGCGACTTTCACTCCCAATCCCTTCATGTCTACTGCTGCTTGCTGAATTCACTGAGTGATTTCTGTCCTTCTATTCATGCTCTGATTGTACAAGTACTAACATCGAGCACAAGCGGGGTGCAGAATTGCCCGGAGTATCAGTCGTGCTCCGGTAGTTTTACGGCTTGAAATGCGGAAGATGCGGTTTATGCTACAAAGCTTCGTTAGCGCTTCATCGGAATGATTAGTTCACTCATGAAGCATGCAAAACAAGCTACTTTATCCGCTCCTACGGTGTGTTCAAAGTCTTAAGTCGAAGTAAATTCCTCTATCGTTTCTCCCATCGTTTTTTTTTGTTTACTTATTTACTTTGCACCCAAGGAGCGAGGTATCGACTAATGGCGAAAAAGGGGCCGTGAGGTGTCTAGACATAGATTGCGCTGAGAAGATTACATTTTAAAAAAGCCAGAAAACATTATAAAACAAAACTTAATTAAACTAAACTTTAACGAGCAAATTGAAGGAATAAGCAGACTAAGCCTGGCTATGACGGGGTCCAATGAGCAGTGATCACAGTAGCAAGATTCAAAAAAACAGCCTGAGAACAGGTACAAGTCTCACCAACCAACACCGATTGCTCCTGCTCGCTAGATATTACAGAAATAACTTCATAGTTCGGGTAACCTGGGATGAGAAGAGGTGTCGGAGCAATAACTGTACACTTCCTTGGAAAGCGACTATTGATTGTTGCTGACTCATTGGCTGTTCTTCTGTCCCATTACCTTGGAATACAAATGTGTGGTTTAGTTTTTTACAGTGCTTTGCCATGTCTTTCACATTACGTATGGACCCCATCCAGCTCTACGTATGGGCAAACATACGGCGATCTCAGGTCGGTTCACATACAGGCAGACCTGTTTTTCCTCTAGAGCTTTTTACCCTTTAATCTATCAATACCATTTTCTGGATAATGTATTTAGCTTGCCAAACAACTCGAAGGTTTTCAAAGACTTTATCAGTTAAATTTCCAGAGATGTTCCAGGTTTTCCATTTCTTGTAACTGATGGTATATATGAGCATTTTTGTATTTGTATAGCCACTGTATATAGGATGTGGAGAAAAGTACGTGGGGGAGACCGCGAGACCACTGAAGATTCGTCTGGATGAACATAGAAGAGCGTTGGCCAATCCCGCTGCCTATCCACACAGCAGTTTTTCCAGGCACCGTACACTTAGGCATGAGAAAGAAAACGCTCCATCCTTCGATGTGAGGGTTCTGCACAGATATTTGGTACGGCCACTGGAAAGGAAAATCATGGAGGCACGGGAAATATACCGCATCAAGCCGGAAGTCAATGCGAAAGAGGAGTTGCATGACCTACTGAGACTGATTACGTGATAACACATAGTTACCTCAGAACAAGAGCGGCGTCCATTTTCCCTTCAAGATCCCCGCCGAAAGGTCCATTCCCCCTTTCCCCCAATATTTCCGGTTGACTTGGTATGATTCGATGTGTTTTGTATTGTAACTGATAGCAACTGATTGTATGCAGCAATATATTGTAAGTAATTAAGGTCTGACGAAGGCATTATATGCCGAAAGCTCACCAATAAAAGTGAAGAGCATAGAGCTTCGAAAAGAACACAAAACGACAAGATGTATAGCCACTGTTAGATCTCGCATCCACTGCATAACCCCTTGTTCTTCTGCTGATATGAAGCCAATTAATACACTGCCACACTGCCCTCTCAAGATTATATTTCTCAAGAAACCTGTAAAGCTGACCTGTAAAAAGTTTGCAATTTTCACAATCGATGATTACTGCCTACGCTTATTTTGTTATTTTTGGGTTCTCTCTGCATAGTAATATACACTTAAGTCCAATGACTTATTTGCTGCAAAATGTATTCAAGCTAGTGAAAGAGCTGACCTGTAGAAATCTAAAAAAGCTTCAGCGAACTTGAAAACGGGCCTGTGTGTGGCCTCTATGTTCGCTTGACATACAAAAGGCTACTGCCATGGAATTTTTTTTTACTCCCACTGTCAAGCCTGTTAGCGTTTTATTTTGTTTTGGTTCTTATTAGTTTTATTGATAGGACTTCTCCTCAAGGTCTAATTGCTTGAAACACAGTTATTTGCAGGGCTGACCTGTGAGCACGTAAACAAACAAACAGTAAAAGTAAGAGTTTTATTTGAACGAAGACAACGCGAAGAAGAGTATATTGACAGGATAATTTGACGTAATGTAGCTATGTTAGAAAAACAGGGCGAGTAGAGCATATGAATAGCAAACAAAGATAGTCCGAAAATCAAGCAAGAGAAACATTAAGTCCCAAAAGGGTCGCCTGCCACTGCAAGGATCACTATTGTAGAATATCATTCCTGCATCGGTTACGAGCCAACTAGAACGCTGGACACAACCCGCTAGGAGAGCCCCCTGCTTCTGACGGCAAGAATCGAATGTATCTGAGATATGAGTTTGCCTTCGTCATCGGTAGCCTCACTGATCAACAATGCGCCTAAAGTGACAAAAGTAAAATATTCATCCGTTCCTCTCGTGAGCTAATGCAGTCTTTCGGACCCTCACACAAATGGAACCAGTCTTGTCGTTCAGAGCATTGGTGTGATGAGGGAAGGACCCTGACTATTTCACCGACGACGCTAGCTTCTGTGTTCGCTTTATATACCGAGGGATCTGATCCAAATATTATTACAAAGCTGATTGACGTGCCCGGAACTGATCTTCAGTTTAGTGGCAATGCAGCAACCGGTCTTGTTCAAGTTTAAGTTATCACATTTGTGAAAAGGTCACTCGAGAAGCGAATACTGCGAGTATCTAAAAACGAAGCATGAAACACCAGATGAATAGAAAGTACCGCTCGTATATGCACAGATAAGAGCATGTGAGATAGAATAACAGGTAGTTTCTGGAAGTAACAGTAAGATCAGGCGTAGTTTCTTCAGGAGTTTGTAGGATTCAATAAATCGCGAAGCTCAATGCATAGGCTCACGATCAGATAATTCAAAAAGACATACAGGAAGAAGAGGGCTGAAATTGATCGGAATTGATCGTCATTGGCGAAGTTCTAGTCAGGTGGGTTCAATATTATTATATAGCGTTCTAGTAATTTGAAATTATTCCAGAATATTCTCTTCCCATCCGGATTATGGCAAAGTTTTATATAGCATTTTTTGAGCAGCTGATCAACTACGAGCAGCCATAATGGCCGGCTAGAGTTAGTTTGACGTTATTGATTGGAATCGTTTTTGAATTTCCTGTACTTGTGAGAATTTTTGCTTTTTAACTGGTTTCAAATTATTTGTTGATTACTGATATTATTATTATATATTATATGATATTATTCTTTTGATATTTTTGTGTTTAGTTTGCAGGTTGCTCTTTGTGTAGAGTGTTGTTTCTGTTCTTATCAGATTAATTCCCCTCCGCTGCACTCTCTGCACAACACTCAATACTAGTCTATGAAAATAAGCTAACTCTATGCAATCTCGAAAGGAGGTCCACTTGATGAGATTAATAGATCCCACATGGCTCGTCTTGCTCATCACTTTACGGGTATCCTGTTGAACTAGTTTACGCAATCAAATCGAAACACATGGTATTAAAACTTGACTCCTACGCCTTCCGTAGTTCAACCCACTAGGTATTGAAATGTGCTGACACTGGAGCCTTCATACCTTCACTCTGCTCGCGAACATCCATGAGGCTTCAATGAAGGCAGGATTGGGAGCGAACCTGTCAACGGTGCTGCAAAGTCTATTCTGAAATCATGCAAAAGCACTAAAAATCGAAACATACGATTCATTCATGGATAAGCTATGAATAGTGATAAGTGCTACTGCTGAACCTAGTATCGAAGGTGCTGGCATTCTGTAATTCACAATCTGTGTCGCCCATTCGGGTTTGTATCCAAACCCCTTGTAGTCATTTACATCTACAAATAACCATTCATGCTTATGGCCTGATCCCGTGAGAAGCTATAATCGTGAGCGATTGACTAGACTGGCTTTGTGCAGAATACAAAAAATAGTAGATGGACTAGTAGGGATAAACACAAACGAGACAATACACGATATAAATATATGCATAATTGAACACAAATATACATGATGCCCAGTAAACTCGAGCACACACCTTAATCTCCCGGGGTACAGTGCCGAGTACGGAGAGTCGTCCAACTAATACGAGCCGAGCCCTTGTTGACCTCGTTTAACTTCTTCACCTTCGGCAAAGATTCGCTATGCCCTTTGAAGGGACACGCAGGATGCACGCTACCGTGTTGCGCTGCGGCTGCAAGCTTAATAGGGCATTGTGAGTTTCGCACGGCTAACTGCGCTTCTCCTTTTCGTGTAAGAATGGCCTGTCTCCTACGTATTCTCCAAATCCGGACGCTCTGGTACAATAGAATGGGAGGTTAAAAATTTTGGCTAAATACATGCACACACACACCTGTCAGCTTCGTGAGCGCCCCCGTGCCCATTAGGAGCGGGGTTCTGCTCAACACACTTGTCTTTGAGTAGATTAAGTACTTCCTCTTTTTTCGACTCGACTGCGCAAATTCACTGAGATTACGCTCATTTTACGCACGCTACGTCCCCGCTAGCGAAGTCCTTTTCGGCCTCGTGAGTATTCCCATCCTGTCTTCCGTGCTTCTACCGAACTTGAGCGCTCTAGGCCCAGTTTACTATTTTTCGCGCACGTCCCGCCCCTCGTAAGTGGAGTTTGGTCGTGCCACTTACCACAAGTGTTCTCATCCTGTTTCCCACCAAATTTGAGCGCTCTAGGTCGAGTGGAACAGGAGCTAGAATTTCCGGTCAGACAAAGACATTCACAAACAACAATGGTAACAAACAAACACACCAACAGACACACTTAGCGTATTATATAAGTAGCATTAAGTACGTTCGAGTAACGATCTATGGTAATAACATAGTTACACTACATTTTGAGTAACGATAGAAGATTAGACA